AATTTTGTGATTCAATGTATAGAGGGAGAACATCTGTGGCCATATCGAGCAGATTAGCCTGTGATATAACGGCGCAATATTCTCAGAGCCTTGCGATCACAACACTTATCCTTCTCGGAATCTGGTGTCTACTTCCTTATCTTGCAAGCCATTTGGCAAGCAGGGCGAATGGGATACAAAGGCCTCTATCGAGAAGCACACAGCGACCTCTCGGATGAGACATTTTGCGCTCAAGCTCTAAATGATCTCGAAGCAGCTATGGGATTAGCTGGGGACAATTGGACCCATACCCTTCTCCTCGCAATCATTATAACCTTGACCCTTCGGATCCACAACTTTGTTCAGCATGAACATCTCAAACTTCATGCCGTCAATATCCTTTCACAAGCACGGCGCACCGCCTTCGAATGGATTTTGACCCTCCAAGCACTCGTAGCGAATCAAAAACAAAAGCAACCTCAGCTGAGACATGCATTGCTTGGCGCCTCGCTTGTACTGCGGGCCACTTTTGACCTTGAAAGCAAGGAAATCACCTCATTCGATACTGGCGAGGATGGTATAGCACGTTATATATTTGCAGGAACATTTCTTACGGATCCCACTCTTGATTCCCTGCCAGTAGGGATTCGCTTTCTTGCCCAGCATGATCGGCGGGCAGCATTAAGACTGCAGCCCCATGTTGCAATCCATTGTGCCGTCAATCCAACCATCCTTCATGTCGCCGTTTCATTCCGGTGGAGCACTTTCGATCTGAAAGGAAGTGGATGGAGACAGCTGGCGACCCCAGCAGAACGATGGTGGAGTTTTACGACGCCAGAAAACTCAGAGCGGATGCAACGAGTAGTTCATCTTAATCTCTTGGATGGCTCTTTTCTGATCGATGGTGCATCCTTTGATCATCTTCCAAATGAGATAACTAAACATATGACCTATAAGGAATTGTTTCACAATAATGTAAGGCTCACATCGTTCCGCTCGCTTATATACTGAAGTTGATGATTACCAGGACATTGAGAATGTGTGTCCATCGACAATCAGGGGGATGTCCTATGAAGGATATTATCAAGGCCACCAGGTAATCCTCGTGTCATAAAATATTCGCAGAAATTCTAATTTCTTACGAAGGTTCATCTCACATTGAAAGGGGAAGAGCTTATCATCAGACATTACGAACATGGTCATATTGAGGAATTCATCCCTTCATCAATTTTGAAAGGCGATCTTCCGTATACCCTTGTACATGGAAGTCACCATTGGTATATGGAAGACTCGAACAGCCTCGAAATACGATCGCAAGATCAAACTTGGCTCAAGAAGGAACCTCGGGTTTGGACGGCAGCCCTACGGAGAAAGAGTCGAGCGCTGTTGGGAAATGTCACGCGGAATGTTACATCGACAACTTATCATCTTGTGGATCCACACTCTCCCCTTTATGACCACCTCCTTACCAGACTTCAGCCTTTAGAAACACGAAAGGACGGTATTCTGGTCACTATCAAGGGAGATGATTCCACGAATGGCACGACAGTTTATTTACCGAGGCATGACTTGACATTTCGAGTCACGTCTTCGATGACTTTGGAATGTCAAAGTTTCCCCGGATTCGTCCTTACCCGAGACTACGAAGGGATCGGTTGTTTAATAGGGTTGCAATCAGTAATAAGCCTCAGCACGGAAGATTCGCTCCTCCCTCAACGCAAGATTATTGTACCGAAAGGCGAGCTATCTTCCATAGCGGGGGCCTACGGACATCCCCTGACATCCATCAAGCTGCAAAATGCTGGAGGTTATTTTACCTATGATGTCGATAATCTCCTTGGCAGACTTCATGGTAGCCGATCTTTCGAGAGCGACCTATTTCTCATCCTTCTTCATGCATTCACTTCCTCTTCTCTCCCCGACAAACTCACCCAAAGACCGGGGACCAAAGAAGCTATTGATTGTCTCAAAGGCTCTTCATGCTTCTCTTCATATACCATTTCCAATGAAGCAAGATCGTACCTCGATGCGCTTGCAAGTTTGACACCCAAGCGCGAATTCTATCCTTCCCATCTCAAAGTAATGGAGACAACTCATTGGCATCCAGTTCTGCCGACCCTCTCGCAAGATCCAAATTTTCTTCCAATAGTCGAGGCCATTCTCGATCATTGGCAAAGACTAGACAAATTCCATAGTATTGGGCAAAATCTCGCAACAAGACCCCATCCCCCTGGAATGAACCACTTATCTGCACGCGCAAATGTGCGAAACTGGATCTTTCATTCATCCGCTTATTCTATCCCCACACTTGAAGATGTAGCATACAAACACCGTGACTGCATTCATGAACAAGAGTCAAAAGAGCGCGAACGGCTCACCTTCCAAGTTGCTGCTCTCTCAAACCCATTCACGACCAAATTTCCCTATACTGTCTCCTTGGCTGATACTGTCCAAGGCTGGGGACGCGTAGAGGCTCCTAAAGACTGGAGCTGCGACGATGTACCACTATGGATGTCGGCCGAGATAGCAATGTCAGAACTATGGTCCACTCTATATAGCCTATCCAGA